TCACTCATGCCAGGGCCTGGAGAAGATGAGCTAACGTGGCTGTTCCTCTGTGAATTTAAAGTGCTTCCACATGGCATCTGCTCCTGAACCTGGCAGATAGCGGCACACCACACACATCCTTAGAGGACACTGATAAGGAAAGCAAGGAAGTCTTTGGCCTACAAGAAATTTAAGTATAAAGTTAGGCTAGAATGGAGGCTGAGGTGTCATCCCATCCCTGGTGCCTATGTCTTCCCTATCAGGCCTCTGAGGACTTGTTCAGCTCTTGTCCTTTCCCCCAGACCCCGAGTCTTGGCCTTTTTCCACTCCTGGACTCTGTACTTTGGGACTGTAGGTGCTCACTTTCCATAATCCCCCCATCTTACGCTGCCTCCTCTAAGGCCCGTGAATCCATGGCCACCTCTCCTTTAAACAGCCCGGAGAAAGTTGTGATTGCTCTTGCCTCTGCAAGCCTCATTCAGTTTGCGCTTAAAATCTGTGTGCCTCACAAGTAAGCAGGATTGAATAAAGCGAAGTCTAATGAGAGGGGGCTTTCTACGTGTTAGCTTCCCCCATCAGGATGCTGCGTGCCGGAGTCTCTGGGGTTGACCCCATCTACGATGGGCTAAAATTAAGCTTCTCTCCTGCCCAAGGGTATTGACTATGAGGCAGAAAATGCAATTAACCTTGAATAGTTTAGGTCACTGGCCCAAGCTTGCTTACTGTTGGCTGCCTCAGTCCCTTCCCTAAAGAAATGCAAACCACAGGGAACCAGACCCAGGCAGGAGGAGCAAGAACAGGCATTCTCCTACCCCCGCAGCTGCAGAATGATTACTCAGGTTCGTGAGTAATTCTGTACATATAGAGAGAATAAATGGGTTGTACTTATAGGCACTATTATTTTCAAATATGTGTAGTGTAGGTACTGTTGTGGTTCATAAAATATAAATTTATTTTTTAAATGAGTGCTTAATAAGTTATTTTGACCCAATAATGTCTTTAGGAAGAAAATAACCTCAGAAGTCTAGCTGGAGGGTAAGGACTTGGGTGCTCCGCCTCAGCTCACTTGTCCTGAAGATAAACGTCCTCAGGCTTGGAGCCCTGACTCTGTGACTAAACAGTAATCGCCTGTCAGCACAAGCGCCTGTTTCTCCAGGGTAATCGATGGCACAACATTCAACGCACAACACACGGTTTAGCCATCGTGCCGGGGTAATTGCAAAGGGAGGAGAAGATAGAAGTCACTGGGCTTTGCCATCCACAAAGAAAAGACTGGTTGCTGCAAAATAGTCCACAAACTCTTGGGACTTACAGCTGGGAGACCATGGAGAGGTTATCCTAGGACTCAGCTGGCATCTAGAAGAGCAAGGGGACCCACGAGGCCAGGAAGCTGTAAAATTCCTAAAATCTTGCCCCTGCCAGTGGCTCGTTGTAGCGGGCCCAGCAGGATGATGCAGCTGCATGTGACTGCACCCGAAAGCTGCCGCAGGGATGCTCCGTCCGCCACAGGCGCGAGTACCTTAGGGGAGGGCCGTGTGGCAGCCTCCTGTGAAAGGTGCCTCAGCAGAGCTTTAAGTCGGTTCTACCTTCGTGTTTCTGCCACTTAAACTTCATGGAGTTCTGCTAAGAAGGAGCTCTGTTCCTTCCTCTCTCGCCGTTCCTCTTACTCCCACCCCCAGCCTTAGAACAGCGACTTCTCTTCATTAGTCTACGCAATAGCCTCGTAGCTCAAAACCACGAATCTGCCACTGGGAAATGGGAACCTGAGGGAACTGTTACTTCATGGTGGGGAGCCAGGGGATTCACCAGATGCTGAGAAATAAACAGAAAAAGATCCTCTTTTATAGATACAGGGAATGTATAATGCGATATGTCCTTGTTTCGTAACCATTGCAAGAGAAAACCTGTGCTTCTTTTTTCTTCCTGTGAAGTGGGAGAACTCTGAAGTTGGATCTACTGAATTTAGGGTTCTTACTTGTTAAGAGTCTTACAAGCACTTCTGAGCTTCCAGCCCTGAGAGTGAGTTGTTGTTATGGAAGGCGGATTCTTATTAAAAGTCCATAGGATTTCCATCACAGAAGCACGTTTTCCCTATGGCTATCTCTATCCCAGGCCCTTGCTAATATGGTTGTATGTATGGAAGTGAACTTGTTTAGCCATTAAAACTCATACCAGCTGATCACAGTGTATTATAGTAGCCAGCTTGGTGCAAAGTAAAATTTGTAGAGAAAAATGATCATAATATGCCACTCTTACTGTTCCATTTTAGTTGCTCTAAGAGAGATAATAGTGTAGGACATGCTGCGTGGGATAGAGTTAAACATATTTCCTATGCTCGCAGAGGAACCTTAAATATCAGTTTAAGCTTTTTGGATACTCTAGGGCATCAGTAAAGAAGTAGTTGGCAGGCTTTGCCCAAGGAGACAGTTGCTAATGGAGTCCTTTGCAAGACCTGGTTTGTGGCCCACCACCCAGAAGTCCCAGTGCGATTCATAAGTCTCTGTCCTGAGAGTAGTGCTTTCTGGTGGGAGACAAAAGAGATGGGGAATGGGGCCCACTGCTTCAGGACTGTCATGAGAGGGAGTGTGAGGCCAGCAGTGTGGAAGGCGAGGGGCCCACATGTTGCCTTCTTCTGTAGTTGAGCTGTCCACTCACGCATCCTTCAGCTCCTGCAAGGATAAGCTTCTTAAGGTATTTGCTGAGAGATTTAGTATCCTGCCCCAGTTCTCCACAGATAGTACAGGGTGAGCCAGCAGAAGGGGAAGAGGTGACATGTAAACCTTTTGTAAAGGTCTTAAAAATATGCCTGTTCTTGGAGCAGGGCCAGACCCTTCTGTAATTACCCATGGCCTTGGGCTTTGGCACAGGGTGAGATCTTTGGATCTTATCGGACAACCTCAATTTGGATGCAGAATTAGACATGGACCCACCAAAGATGATCATCTGAGCTGAGCTGCAGAGACCACTGAGGACAGGCCCACAGGTCGATGCTTTGCAGGGCTCCAGATGTTTTCGTAGTTTCCTGCAAGTCATTCTCCACCCACTTCATCCCAGGTACCCAGGCAGGTCTCTGAAGTAAAAGGTTATAGGTTATAAACAGCCTAGTTTCTCACCATTTTGTGAAACCTTTTAGCCAACCTTTTAACTTCTTTTCACTCAAATTTATTCAGCAAATAACTATTGAGTACCTATCTGCCACGTATTAAGCCCTGTGCTAAGTTCTGGGGGAAAGCTCCTGCCCTCATGAAAATCGCAGTCTAGAAAGGAAGCAGACAATAAATAAACAAACCAACAAAATGATTACAAATTGTTAGAAGTGCCATCAAGGACATTAACAGGATAATGAGAGGGAAAGTATCTGGGGGGGCCATTCTAGAAAAGACCTCCGACAAAGGGGACGCTTGAGCTAGGACATGAAAAATACAAGGAGTAGCTGAGAAGGGTTGTTGGAAGAGCATTCCAGGCATAGGCAATACAAAGACACAGAGGCAGAAGAGCCTCGGAGTGGTCAGGAACAGAAAGGCCATGGCTGGAATGTAGTGAGGAGAATGATTTGGGTTAAATTCAGAGAGAAGTCAGGAGCCACGCTTCATAGGGCCTTTGAGGCCATGATCAGGGTTTGGATTTTATTCTGAGAGCAATGGGAAGCCACTGATGGTGGTAAGCAGAAGTGAGGAAGGTAATTAAAGATCATTGAGTGTTCACTGCCACATTGTTTGTAATAGCAGATTAGAAACTAATTCTGTCAGCGTGGAACTGGGTAAATATCTTTGGGTTCATTACAGTGGTATGAAGTTAAAAACTGTGAGGCATATCTATATGTACCGCAAGAAGGATTTGCAAGATATCCTAAGTGGGAGGGGGAAAAAAAAACCCAAGAAACAGAATAGATTATAAAAATGTTAAAATATATTTTAAAAAGAGGAGATGTAGGGCCAGGCGCGGTGGCTCACACTTACAGTCCTAGCACTTTGGGAAGCCAAGGCAGGAGAATCACTTGAGGCCAGGAGTTCAAGACCAGCTTGGGCAATAGCGAGACTGTGTCTCTAACAAAAACAAAACAAAACAAAAAAAGAAAATTAGCTGGGCGTGGTGGTGCACGCCTGTAGTCCAGGAATTTGAGGTTGCAGTGAGCTATGATGATGCCACTGCACTCCAGCCTCGGCTACAAAGTGAAACCCTGTCTCTAAAAAGAAAGAAAGGAAAGAAAAGAAGAAAGAAAAAGAAAGGAAAGGAAGGAAAGAATGGAAGGAGGAAAAGAAAGGGAGAGAGAAAGAAGGGAAGAAAGGAAGGGAGGGAGGGAGGGGAGTTGTACATGTATGTATGTTTTCCCATGTATAAAATATCATATAAAGGATATCCAAGAAGCTGATAACAGGTTGCTTCTGGGGAGAGGAACTAGGGAACAAAGCACCTAGGGTGGAAGGGAGACTTACTCTTGATAATATATCCTTATGTATGTTTGAATATCTTGCGATGTGTTTATATGACTTATTAAGCAAAAAAGACATTATGTCTATTATAAATTGCAGTCACCCTGGTTGCTGTTGTGGAGAATGACTGAGGAGGGCAAGAGCAGAGCAGAGAGTCAGTTAGAAGGCTCTGGCAGTGGTCCAGGTGAGGGATGGTGGTGGCCTGACCCATGGTTGGTAATGGGGATGGAGCGAATAGATGGATTCCAGATTTACTTTAGAGGGAGAGCCAGCTGGACTTGGTATTTACCAATTAATGCTGTACTGCACACTGACATTGCCTACTCCCACTAGTTTAAGAAAGGTTTATGCATTAGAGATTGGAACTGGGTTTACCTGACTTCTCTGACGGCTTTGGGAAGGGTTCTTGGGCTCCTTCCAGGTGCCTCAGGATTCTGGAGAGTATCTGATGTATCACAGTATGGAGAACATAGTTATGGACGTGTGCTCCTTCCATATACACATGCAACAGTTATAAACGATTTCTCATGACTGTAAAAACACTGGGGAAGCCCACTCACTTCTCAATGGAGCTTGCTTTCTTTGCAGAGAGATGCCAAAGGCCAATACCTGTTTGACCTTCTGTGCCACCACCTGAACCTACTTGAGAAAGACTATTTTGGAATCCGCTTTGTAGACCCAGATAAGCAGCGGGTAAGTCAATATTCGAAGCACAAAGGGAAGACAGGACTAGTCCATAAGCCTGAGGCCTTACTGTCACTCACATTTAGAGTTAAGCCCCAGGAGTCAGGGACCAGCCAGGCCTTGCAGTTGAATGTCATCTCTTCAAATCATATCATTAGACCTGAAAGGCACCTTTGCTAGAGTTCACCTAGAGAAGCTTGTCATTTTACAGATATGGAAATGGCAGACTAGAGAGTTTAAGTGATTTGCACAAAGTTACCCAGTTGGAGGCACAGCAGCTGGGCTAGTGTTGTGGTCTCGGAGCCCAGATCACAGGGTGAGCCTCTCCTGCCCCCTTTCTAATAAGTGGGCTGAACCGCATTGTTCTGGATAGGAAAGGCCTCAGCCGAGGTGCCATACCAACCCGCCAACCCAATCTAGGCAGGACAGAGATAGGGACAAACTGACATGGCCCTTTCGTTGCCTTGCAAATCCTACAATCCTTGTTCTGCTCTACGCAGCACAGCCAGCCCTGCAGACACAGGGCATTGACAAGGATTACGATATTCCAGACAGATGCAGGAACAAGTCCATTATCTCAGGCCCCTGACTACCTCTCCAGCTTCGTGTCCCCTGACCTGTCTTCTCGCCGAATGATACTGTGGCTCTCCAGACCTCGTGCCTTCTTTCTTTGTAGAGCCTTCACCTTCACAGTTCCCCTGCCTGGAAGACTCTTCTCCTTTTCCTCCCTTCTCCACATTCCACACTTTTCTTCTGACTAACTCCTTTTCACACTTAAGGTCTTAGCTTAGACTTCTACTTCTTCCAGGAAGTCACCCCTAAACTGGGGGTCCTCCTATGGCCCCCACGTGCCCTGTACTACCTCTATCATAGCACTTATTACACCACATTGTGATTACCTGTTTGATCACCTGTGTTCCCTGCAAAAAAAATACAAGTTTCTTGAGGACATGGACTTCATCTCATTCATCACTATCTCCCATGTAACTAGCACAGAGCATAGAACGTGGTTAGTATTCAATAAATATTTGCTGAAGGAACGAATGGGTGAGTGAGTTAATGGTGTATAGCACTGTATTTCTCACCTCCACTTGCCCAGCCTCCCAGCTCACAGACACCTGCAGTTTCTGTAACTTCTGCTTACCTGGTTTTTGCTGTCGGTGGGGAGGTACCCTCTGGCATCCCCATTGATGTGGGAAAATAATGATAGACTATTTTTATAAATGGTGTTTGCTTGTTTGGTCTGAGCTTTCTCTCCTTAAAAAGAAAGGCCAGGCTGGGCGCGGTGGCTCATGCCTGTAATCCCTTAGCACTCTGGGAGGCCCGAGGCAGGAGGATTGCTTGAGCTCAGGAGTTTGAGACCAGCCTGAGCGGGAGCGAGACCTCGTGTCTACTAAAAATAGAAAGAAATTAGCCAAACAACTAAAAATAGAAAAAAAAAATTAGCCGGGCATGGTGGCGCATGCCTGTAGTCCCATCTACTCGGGAGGCTGAGGCAGGAGGATCGCTTGAGCCCAGGAGTTTGAGGTTGCTGTGAGCTAGGCTGACGCCATGGCACTCTAGCCCGGGCAAAAGAGTGAGACTCTGTCTCAAAAAAAAAAAAAAAGGCCAGTTACCCCAAGATTCTTCATCTCCCAGATGGGGTGATATATAGAGAAAAAAGGGCAAAATGTATCCTGTTCATTATTTTTTAGTTAGGTTGGAATGTGCCTGAAAAAAATAAGAGAGTATGTGGAGGTGATAAAGATTAGAAGGAGAAGGAGCTAGAAAGAGATAAGAAAATGGGAAAGAGGAGAAATAAACGTTTGTGGAGTGCCTGCTGTGTGCCAGGCTCTTCACTGAACACAGACTAGTTCTTTCAGCTGGTGTATGTTGTTCACTGAGCTGTGTAGGCACTAAGCTAAGAGCTTCACATATGTTATTTCATTTGTTCCTTAACACAAATGAGATGAGTATCCATAATTATAATATCTGTTCTCCAGAAGACTAAATAAAGTCTCAGATAGGTTAAGTAACTTTCCCAAGCTAACTGGCAAAGCCAATCTTGAGCTCAGACCTGTCTGACCCAGGGCTCTATGATTTCTAAGATTCCATGCTGAATTCATACCTGATAGCCTCTGAAAGTTGGGTGATTCTGTGCTTTGAGAGAGGGGTTCAAGAGAGCAGAGAGGCTTGAAGGGGTACCTGGGGGTTGTGGGGAAATGGACTTGTAAGAGTTGTTGTCCTAGGTCCACAGATTCATGGTAGAGATGTAGAAGGTGGGCTCCCTGGCTCCCTCGGGGTGTGAGGCTCTAAACTAAACCTCCTCCCCTGGTGTGACCCAGCACTCGCCCCATCCCCACATCACTGCTTGCTCTGGGAGCTCTGCAGGTCTCTCCTGGTCCTCCACTGCCCTGCCCCACTGTTCCCGACTCAGGCTTGGGGCCTCCACCTGTTCCCAGCCTCTCCTGTGCACCCTGTCAAGCCGCCAGAGTCTGAAGATTGTGCCACGTTGGCCCATTCACTGAAATACAGGAGGAAACCCTCCTCTCTGAATCTTCTTTTCCTCTTCTGATCCCTTCTCCCCAAGCCCATGTCACCAATTTGCGGGTGATTCTGGGACCCAGTTTTAGCCAGGCAGCTGCAAAAAGCAACTCTGGCCATTGCCATATTCTTGGGATCCTCTCAAGATTTCTCTACCAGACCCTCAAAATCCCATGGACAAGCTGTGACAGTTTTCCACCCCTTCCCCACGCCCTTCCTAATCTCCAGCCTCAGTCCTTCCTTGAGCTCTCACTACAGTACACATGAAGTCTTCTCTCCAGCTGTTGCCAAGGGGAATAGCCTCTTTGTAATTCAGCTCCATCTGCCCTCTGCTGATAACGCATCTCACAGTCATTTTTCTTAATTTCTATAGAACTTCCTTTGTTAATTCCTTTTAATCTATCAGTCTGATGTCTGGGGGTGTTCTGTCTACTGAGTCCCTGACTCTTGCTACGTTCCCCTCACTACACACAACTCCAGTGTGCTCTGAACAGACAGGCCTCCTCCGCCTTCACAGGCACAGCCTGGAACCCCAGTTGTTGCTGTGCAATTTCATCTCTTGCCTTTGCTTCCCCGTGAAGCCGAGCCGCGGTGGGCCGTGTAATGTGAGAAGGACCTCTTAACCACATTGAGTGGCTATAATGAGTTGCCAGCCTCGTGGGAACTCGGATCAGAGGAAGCCAGAGAGCAGAATGTCAGCCCGGATTATCCATGTGGAGCTGATGGAAGAACTGGCTCTTAGTGGGTCCATTAACTGCATGACCCGTGGCCCAGCCCAGAAGGTGATAGCTGGGAATCAGGGGAGGCCAGGATGCTGTCTGCATGGCCCTGGCTGCTTTCCTGCCAGAGGGAGGACTCTGCCAGGACATTATGCTAAATGGAAGTAGCCAGAAAAGAGGGAAGTGTGGACACAGTCTCTTTTTCCATTCAGTAGCTACGCATTGAACACTCTGCTAGGCACTGGTGATACAATGTTAAATAATACAGTTTTCTTCCCTCACAGAAGTTACATCTGGCAGCTTTAAGCTACTTCCAGATAATCAAATCCCAAATAATAGCAGTCCTAGCTAATCCTGATTAGCATAAAAGCAACAAACATCAATAGTAAATTTTATAAAGGACCCATGTAGAATTGAGAAACATATATAGAATGGTTTCATTGCTTCCTTCCCCCAAACATAAGTACCATGGGAAAAATTATACTATGCTATGTCCTGCCTCTTTGAAAAGCCATATAACAAAAACATTCGTACCCCCTTAATATTTCGAAATAAAAGAAAAAAAGAAAATCCAAGGGAAAAAGGATACTAACCTACATATTCGTTTTGATTAGTTATCTTATGAGACTTAGACTTTAAACATCCCTGGATGCCAAAGAATCCTGAGTATGTGCTCTCTAATTCAGGGGTTGGCAGTCTGTGTTACTCTAAGAAAGATGGAATATACCCCAGCCATCCCTGCCTTATGAATTTCTACTTCTCAGTACTTTCTAGAGTTGTTCCAATAGCCACTATCCCCACTCCCCTGCCAAAACGTTGGTACTTAACACAAACACACACCACCTATTCAAGTCAGCGTTTCCCTGCTCAAGCCAGGTGAGGCTTTGCCGCCACCACATGTACGTGAGTCGCTCATGCCTACTGGCCTGCCAGGACCGTGGCTCAGAACTTCGGCACCCTGCCTTGGAAGGCAGCACTTCCAGGGAAGCCCAGAAATGGCATCTGAAGCTGGAACTATCCCCCCTTCCCAGCTAGGTTCCATGGGGAGCTTGTTTCAGAAAATCATATCGCTTTTTACTCTCCAAACCTATATTTCACAAGCTTCTGGGCCGCTTTCACCCTAGGCTATAATCTGTCCAGTTATTTAAATTGGATAAAACAAATTATTTTTGACAGTGCTTCTCATTAGGGTTTTAATGTTCTGTGTTCTCTGTTTCAGCATTGGTTGGAGTTTACAAAGTCTGTGGTGAAGCAATTGCGATGTAAGTATTTATTCTCCATGAAAAGACTGAAGCCTCCCCCCTGGGGAGGGTGGGATGAAACTTCCCACATGTAGTAAGCCGTGGTCTACATATGTAATTTTCCACTATCCTGAGTATCAGTTGGCCCTAAACACTTGAGGATTTTCTTCTGCTGGTTCGGTGGACTGTGCATGCTGGTGGGAGGACAGCCCAGTCATCTTCCGGGAGAGCGGCTTCCCTGATGTGCGCTCTTTTTCTCTGCAGCCCAGCCTCCATTCACCATGTGCTTCCGTGTGAAGTTTTACCCTGCAGACCCTGCAGCTCTGAAAGAAGAAATAACCAGGTGAGGCTGAACACACTGCCCCAGCTACTAAGCCCTGTTGGAGAGGATAGGAAAGGGGGGCCTGTGACCTCTCAGATCCTCTAATAGGGAAGCGCCTCACTCTTACAGGCAAGGAACCCTTCCTACCCAGAACCTACTTCTTCTGTATTCATTTCCACATTCTTTCCTTTGCTCACCCCTCAGTGGAAATGGAACAGAGTGAATGTCTTTCCTTCAGGAAATGTGAATACTTCATCTCTAACTGATCACTTTCAAGGGGATCTGGAGTAACTCATCAAAAGCGTTTTTTCTTTGGCCAATGATGTGGCCACTGTGGACGTTCTTAGAGAGGGCTGTGTTGCTGCTTATTTTGGGGATTGAAAACAGATTCAAGTGGCCTAATGGATGTACTTGGGGGACGCCAACGTGTGATGCTGAAAAGACAAGCAGGGAAATACTGAAGATTTTAAATCCAGATGGGTAAACTCCAGTGTGCTGCCGGATCAGGTTCGTGATAAAGTCTTTATTGTGGGGATAATGTTCTGTGGCAGGCAGACAGCTGTGTGGAATGAATCTTGTCTCGTTCAACACCACTTGAGGATGAGAAAGAACCTCTGTGCCCAAAACCTTCCTATAAGAGGGTCAGTGAATAGGAGCTTAAGGCTTCCTCAGGATTTTGGATATCTGAGCCAAATTTACTCTGAAAGTCTCGCCTCATAGATTCAGAAACTCTCTATAAACTGGGATCCGTAATTTTTGTATTAGAAAGACCTAATTTTGACATAAGCAAAACCTCGACGTTACCTTGTAGAAGGCAGGATCATAGGTAAAGAGGTGATGACAGGGCATCCTAGAGCTGAGGCAGAGACAGCACTGCCAGCTCTGGTCACCTCCCTAAACCCTTGGAGACAGCAAAGATGGGAATGAGGACATTGCCAGTCATGTAGACTGTCTGTCCCGTATGGCTTTGAGATCTGTTTCTAGATTCTGAACTACCTAGGAACATCCCAAAGAAGGGAAAAGAGGAGGGAAGAAGGAAGGAAGGAAGAATATGGAATTATATTCCTTTCCTGTTCTGAAGAGCATGCCAAGTCAAAGGAAGAAAAGTTTCTCTAAGAGGGGAAATCAAGAAATGGGGAAAGAACAGGGCAAGAAATAGGAATGAGTAGTGCAAAGGAAGCAAGGAAGTGGGACAGGCAGGGAAATGGCTTCTTCACATGGCCGCAGCGGGGGTTGAGGGAAATCTTCTGGTGGAGTCAGAGGATCAGGAAGGCTATTTCCTGCAGATGCACAGGGTAGTGTGTACCCACCCACTCGGAGGCACTAAACACAGTGAGGTGTGTAGCTAGCCCCAAACCCCATGCTTCTTACAGGGCACGGAAACTGCAGGTTCTGCTCATTCACATGGATGTGAGTGGGGCTCCTACTTTGTTTGGAAAACCAAATCCATCTAAATTAACAAGTGACCCTACAGCTTTACACAGGCGAGTGAGGGTAGAACCACTGTGTTTAACAACTTAAAGAGTTCTGTGAAAGCACTAGCCCGCCCCACTCACGAATTCCAGAGTGTTTGCCTTAGCTCTGAGCCTCTCTCTCTGTCTCTCTGTTAAAAGAGGTACCAGTGCCAGGGAAGACCCCAAAGTGTCCTGTCCACATATCAGAGCAAACTTAACACATCTTTGTTGTCCAACTCACTGGACCAACAGTAGGGATGAGAGGGATTGGTCTAACACAAATCAGTGAGCAGCTGGTGGGAGCACCACAGACACATAGCTTTCCAATTTGACTAAAGGACAAGAATATAAGATTATCTTGGCCATTAGGAGGAGCCCTTAATAATCTGATAGTCCACTGGATGTGGTGGCTCACGCCTGTAATCCCAGCACTTTGGGAGGCTGAGGTGGGAGGATCGCTTGAGCCCAGCCTGGGCAACATAGTGAGACCCCCATCTCTTAAAAAAAAAAAAAAATTAGCTGGACATGATGCATATGCCTGTAGTCTCAGCTACTCAGGAGGCTGAAACAGGAGAATTGCTTAAGCCCAAGAATTCAAGGTTATAGTGAGCCACTGTACTCTAGCCTGCGCGACAGAGTAAGACCCCGGCTCTAAAACAACTATGGTAATAATAATAATAACATGATTTTCTAAATCCAGTGTCACTATCTTATATTAATGGGCAGACCCTCCTTCCCAAGAAGCAACATAGACCTGGGAGCTCAAATCGTACTTAAGTCAGGATATAACTTGGCTATATGGCCTTGGACATAAGATATTTAAACCTCTCTGACCTTTGGATTCCTCATTTATAAAATGGAGATAATAATGTCTACCTCCTAGAATTGTTGGGAGGACTAACCACTATAGTAGTGTCTTATACTTTTTTTTTCTTTTTTTTTGAGCCAGAATGCAGTAGCATCACCCGTCCTCATAGCTCACTGCAACCTCAAACTCCTGGGCTTAAGCCATCCTCCTGCCTCAGCATCCCAGGTGGCTGGGACTACATGCACAAGCCATCACGCCCGGCTAATTTTTCTATTTTTTGTAGAGGTGGGGTCTCACTCTTGCTCAGGCTGGTCTCGAACTCCTGAGCTTAAGTGATCTTCCTGCCTCGGCCTCCCAGAGTGCTAGGATTACAGGTGTGAGCCACCATGCCCAGCCATCTTATACTTCTTAATGCACCTCCAATGAGTATTGCACTGAGCAAAGGCTCAATACGTTTGCTGCCAGATTGATTACACGGTCTTTGGCCACAAGGGCTCTGCATAGAGCACAAGTACAGTTAGTACTGGCTTTTTCCCTTATGTGAAAAGGGACTTTTCTAATAATCTCAACTCCTCTTCTGTCCCCTTTCCCTATCAGCCAGAGTCCTAAAACTTAAGCAGCTAACTTCTGAGTTCCAAGAGAGAAAGCTATCCCAGGTAATCATCCAAGTCCCAGTAAGTGCAGCATTAGGACCATGGCCAGGCCTCCCACCAAGTCACCAAACTTCAAGGACACTGGCAAGTATATGAGCTCCTCTCCCATCTGTGTGCTTTTGTGCTACCATCTTGGACAATTTTCCCTCTCTCTCCACCTCCCTGGCCTTCTGTCCCTAGCATGCAATTTCCCGGCATTGTGAGGAGTATGGATCGTGGGTACCTGGGTAGTCTTTGTGCCTCGCTCTCCCTGGGGCAATCTGTGAGGCTATGGAATTAGCCACATTTTTCTCTTCATTCACATCCCTACTGATCTGAAGAGAGTGGGTACCTGCCCCAGCCTCACTCAATACCCATAATTCATCCCTAGCTTAGAGTCCTACATCCTACCTTGATACCAAACTCATTTAGCTGTCAGTGTGTTTTTTCCTGGCAATATTAGTCCTAAATTTCTCTGCCATCTCAGCCATTCCCATAAAGCCAGGCTGAGAGAAGGCAATGAAGTAGGGAGTAAAGAGCTATGCTTCAATTTATCTCTTGGATTCTTCCCAGATGATAAATTTAGTTGCCAAATCCTGATTAATTTCTTTTGTCATTTTTTTAAAGTAATAAATAGATTTTCTTGTCTAGGCTAGAGACAAGCCAGAGAAAATGGGGAATTAGGCACCCGATTTAGCTTTTAACAAGGACTACAAGTGTATGAATTCTTTGGAAAGAAAAAATAATAGAAGGAAACTGAGTACAAATGGGCCCCCACCACCCAAGGAAGCAAAATATCTGACACACAAAAGACAAAAGGTGCTCCAAAAAATGTTAATAGAATGAATGCCTATACAGGCATTCATAGAAGTCTCCATAGAAAGAAAAAATTTTGTAATGAATATTTTGTAAATAAAAGTACATTTAGCTACAATTTCCCATTTTCCCTATGTATGGCAACTTTTGGGACACCCTGTATACACGAATGAATGGAATCATTAGGTCATTTATTCCTTCAATGAACATCATTTTGGCCTAGCTTAGGCTAAGATGGATTGGCAAACTTTTTCTGTAAAGGGCCAAATAGTAAGTATTTAAAGCTTTTTGGGCCATATGGTCTCTGTTGCAGCTACTCAGTTCTGTCATTGTAGTGTGAAAGCAGCCATAGACGATACATAAATGAATGAGCAAGGCTATGTTTCAATAAAATTTTATTTCATTGCAAACTATGGCAGCAGGCCATACCCCTGGGCTAAGAAATCAGAAAGACATGGGTTCAAATCCCAAGCTATTCTTTAACTAGCTATGTGACAAGACAAGCAACAATAACTCTAAGTGGTCAGTTTCCTTATCTGTTAAGCAGGGATAAAAATGGTAGTCACCTCAAAGAGCTGTTGTGAGGATTAAAGGGGAGAATGCATACGAAACAGTTAGTAGAGTGTGGGACACACAGCGTGCACTCAGTAAATTCGAGTCATCATTATTATTCTTTTGTTTTGTTATACAGTAACACAACTGGAGGCATCATATTACCTGACTTCAAATTATACTACAAAGCTATAGTAACCAAAACAGCATGGCACTGGCATAAAAACAGACAGACCAGGGGAACAGAATAGAGAACCCAGAAATAAATCCACACATTTATAATCAACTCATTTTTGACAAAGTTGCCAAGATTATACATTGGGGAAAGGACAATCTCTTCAACAAATGGTGCTGAGAAAAATGGATAACAGTATACAGATTAATGAAACTAGATAGACCCTTATCTCTTTTCATATACAAATATCAAATCAAAATGGATTAAAGACTTAAATTTAAGACTTAAATATAAAACTACTACAAGAAAACATCAGGGAAGCACTCCAGGACATTGGTCTGGGCAAAGATTTCTTGAATAAGACCTCAAAAGTGCAGGCAACCAAAGAAAACATGGACAAATGGGATCACATCAACCTAAAAAGCTTCTGCATAGAAAAGGAAATAATCAACAAAGTGAAGAGACAACCCATAAAATGGAAGAAAATATTTGCAAACTGTGGATGTGACAAGGGATTAATAACCAGAATATATATGCAGTTCAAACAATTCAATAGGAAAAAAGCACAAATAATCCTGTTAAAA